AAGGTGTCCCACCCCAAGGGAGGAGAGATGATGCCCCCGCCCCCTTCCTGATCGTTGAACACCACCGTTGAACTGAGATANTGTCCGTATCCAAACACACGAACAGAAGGTGTCCCACCCCAAGGGAGGAGAGATGATGCCCCCGCCCCCTTCCTGATCGTTGAACACCACCGTTGAACTGAGATATTCGCTTCACGCTCGTGGTCAGTTTTGATGTGCACCCCAAGGCCCTGGGTGTTGAAGAAACGACGGTTGCACTTCGTACAAGGCACTGTCGGTTGAGGCGGTGGAGGCGCGGCGAAATTGATGTTCGTGATCTCCTCAGTGCTGCCGTCCCCACGCGTACGCACCACCTGCACAGAAATGGGGTAGGGAAGGCATCGGAGGGCGGTGGTATTGTTCGTTCCTGCTTGAGTTTATTATTTGTTGTTCTAAAGATAGCAACATAAGGTCGTTCAACAACGAGTGCTGCCGCGGGTAAGGCCAGCACAGCAGCATGTAAGAAGACGCAATTCGGAAAGGGTTGACAAAACAAGAGGCGACCCTGGTACGGAGGCACGCTGGCGACTTACTGCTACAGACATCTTCTTGCCAATGAGTACGTACACGTTTCGTGCAACAGCGGCTCAAAAACCATTTTTATGCGGCAACTCAACAATAATATGGCCGCCTTGGAGAGGAGGGTTACGAGTTCATCGATGACCTTGCGACACATGCCGTGGGAGGAAGGGACGGAGGAACGATGGCTCTGAAAGGAGTCTTCAAGGAACGACTTCTTCAGATCGTTTCGGTGGCTACACAGGTGGCCATATCTCGGCGAGTGCAGAGGTACAAGCTCGCATTGCGCGGGCGTCAAGACGCCGAAAACAGGCGAACAAGATCGACCTCGGACCAGTCAACGCCAATGATATGGGGATGGAGTGTAGACGCATCGTAGAACGCGTTTTCGTTTGAAGTTGGCGTCTTGTTTGAGAGTAGATGTGACAGATTTGCGTAGAATAGGGTAAGATGTTATCATGAACGGAGATGAAAGGGCTTTTCCAACACGGAGATGTAGCATGGATCAAAGCATTTGTTGGATTTCAGCTTTTACAAGCGGACATCAACGCAGTAGTATTTTAGCAAGCGTACGAACGCATATAGGATACCATCGGGATTGTCATTGGTTTTATTTCAAGTTGAAGAGGATATACTTTTACGATGTAAATGACAGTAGAAATAAGTCCTACATATGTTGTTGTACTTCGTATTGGTTTAATATTCATGTAGAGTATGAGACATAAAGTGAAAGTTTTCTGAGGTACATCTGCAATTGTCGGAAGGCAAAAATAAATAAATAAATTATATTAAGTGTTGGGATCATTCACGTGGTTCACAGCAGCACCGGTATGACGCAAATCGAAGGCAAAGAATAGCAGAACTCACGCAAACCGAAAGAGACACTTATAGCACAGAGCATTCGATGCCAACAATACATACATGTAGACGCCAATGTGTATTTTGGACACCAAAAGAAAACAAAAAAACATTTGAAAAAAATATAACTGGTCTGTCCGAATCTCGATGGCGCTGAATATTTTTTCAAGTATCGCGCGAGATGTTAGGATAATCCGAACTGGGTGTAGCTTGTCGCAAGACGTGTGTTGAATAGGGTATCGGCAACTCGGCGGGCTTGCGCCGAGGAGAAAAACTTGTTGTGATTAGTTGCATCCACATACACACACAAGACCCGTTGAGGGGGCGACGCCGTATGTATACAACAGGGGTACCTTGTACATCCCTGGAATCCATTCTACGTACCACACATATCACCCGGTATNCCGAGGAGAAAAACTTGTTGTGATTAGTTGCATCCACATACACACACAAGACCCGTTGAGGGGGCGACGCCGTATGTATACAACAGGGGTACCTTGTACATCCCTGGAATCCATTCTACGTACCACACATATCACCCGGTATTATTCCGGTCTACCTCATTCCATGGGAACATCCAGCACCAACCACTTGGCATTGCTACAAGTATATCTATCAGCCCCCCGCTTGTGACTATGCCATGTCTTCGTGATCTTTCAGTAACTCCAAAACACAAGAAAATAATCCAAACACAACTCAAATCTGCAACAATAGCCTTCTGGGCTAGAAATATATTTCCATCTCCGATCAGTCCAGTTGTAGTTCTTCGATAGTCATAGCGATCCAATTGCCCCCCATCCTAGAGCACCATTCATTGAGAAGACCATAGGCAAAAATGTAAAAAAATGCCACCACCCTAGTTCTTTGATCAAGCACAAATAAATCCAAATCTACCGTTCGTTCCTGTCCCACACTCATCACAAAATTACAATGAAACTCAAAATCTCCGACGTGAAGTGCCTTCGTGAGGAAGTCAGCATGTTGATACGCTGATTCCACGTGAAAAATCGAAATCTCCTTCCTGCCTACCAGTTCCCTGATTAAGTGTTGCCTTACGTCGATGTGCTTCGAGTTGCTGTAGCTAATCGGGTTCTGCGCCAACTGAATAGCCCCCTGGTTATCCTCGAACACCGGAATACACGGCATACCTGCTTCTGGCAACATGAAACGCCATACCTGCCTCAGAACCAACACTTTCTTCATCACATCCGCAAGGGAGACATACTCCGCCTCTCTCTGTCGTGCTCAACGTAACGCACTTCTGCGTCCTTGAAAACCAAGAAATACAACCCTCCCCACACATCACCAAGCCTCCTGACACAGACCTCCTATCGGCAGCCTTGCTTGCATAGTCTGCGTCTGCGAACACCTCCTCCATGCTCAACCCTGCTAGACTACCCCTCCTGAATGTAATCCCCAAGTCACTAGTCCTTACCACGTACCCCAAAATACCAAGACCTGCTCTCCAATGAATTTATTTGGGAGAAGCACAGTACCGTGCTACCGCTCTTACATTCGCAATATCTGGCCTCGTTTGCGTTGCCAGCCACATCAGTGATCCTATCAGCTCGCGAAAAGGCCATGATACCACTTTCGCATCCTGGTCGAAGTCTGAAAGCTTCAACACTACACTNACCTCCTATCGGCAGCCTTGCTTGCATAGTCTGCGTCTGCGAACACCTCCTCCATGCTCAACCCTGCTAGACTACCCCTCCTGAATGTAATCCCCAAGTCACTAGTCCTTACCACGTACCCCAAAATACCAAGACCTGCTCTCCAATGAATTTATTTGGGAGAAGCACAGTACCGTGCTACCGCTCTTACATTCGCAATATCTGGCCTCGTTTGCGTTGCCAGCCACATCAGTGATCCTATCAGCTCGCGAAAAGGCCATGATACCACTTTCGCATCCTGGTCGAAGTCTGAAAGCTTCAACACTACACTAAGAGGAATTTCCTTCCCGTACTCTACCCCAAACTCCATCCCCAACTCTTCAGCGTACGTCTGTTGCGAGATCTTCAAAGTCCCTGCATCCCAATCCCTCTCATAAAAACATCAAGAGTACCACATCAAGTCACCAAGATTCTTCACCGGTACCATGGTCTTGAGGTCCCTACCAAATTGGTCACACCTCTCCTCCTCTCCAACCGAAAATATGTCATCCACATGTACTACCAGGGTCACCACCACTCTTCCTTCCTCGATCAACCGAAACACACACGTATCCGCCAGACACTGAATAACACACCCAAACAAATCAAACACCTCGCCAAGTGTGAATGTCATTGCCTTAATGCCTGCTTAAGGCCATACAGACTCTTGTTCAACTTCACTATCATGCCTGACAATCTACCACACACATCCCTCTGGCAGACGCATGAAAACATCCTCATCCAAATCCGACTGGACAAATGCTTGCTTTATGTCAAAATGACGAAGAGAATGATTTTGCTCACACGCCATCGCTGCCAACAAGCGAACGCTGGAAACCGCTACAGTCGGTGCATACGTCTCTCCACAATCTACATGTACTCGCTGCATATCTCCTCTCGCTACTAGCCATGATTTCACACTTGTCGGCCACCCATACTCATCAGACTTCGAGTTAAACACCCACTTGGCCTTGATGACACTCTCTGGTTGCTACATTACTTCCTCAAAGGTACCAGCCTCCATCAGACCTCTGAACTCCCTCTCTACAGAGTCTACCCACAAGTCAGCATACTCAGAGGACACAGCCTCCCTATAAGTGTTGGGCACGCGCAAGTCGTTGGCATAGCAATGTGGCAAATCTGGTGCCATTTCCGGGAGATTTAGATCCCTCATCGTGCGATCAATGTCCTCGCAGGAGGCAAGCAAGGTGGCGCACGCAAATGGGACTTCTTCACGCAGTCCTTCTGTTTTTGTGCCCCTCCGCTCTCGCTCCCCCGGTTCCGCTCCTTCACGTCCTCCGGCTGAACTCGAGATCTCCTTTCTCCCCCTATCGACGACGCTGCGAGTGGTGAGAGTCAACAGGAACGTTGCCTTGTCCTGCAGGGATACAAGCCCAAAGCGGTGGGCGGGAGCGTCGCCGCTCCCGCCAGGTGAAGTTGACCGCTCGGCCCCCCCATCCCGGAAACGCACCCCCCGACCCCCCCCTCAATCTAGACTTAAGTGGGTTGGCGCTGTTGGCAAAGCGCTGTAAAACACGCCACCCTCCCCATAGTATGCGCTACCAAAGACGCGTGACGCATGGATGCGTGGAGTGAGGATTGCTTACGGAAACCTCACAGGTTGGGTGATGTAGGAATTGCTGGACACATAGACGTGTTGAGTGATTGTAGCTGTATACTGAAACCCCACGGAAAGGGGAGGTTTGAGATTGCCAGACACATAGACGGGTTGAGTGGGGATAGCTGCTGGAACCCCACGGGTTGAGTGATGTTGGAGTGCCGGACACAT